CAGGATGGTGCCAAGCAGCCCCTCTGTAACAGTGAGTATCTCTGAAGAATAAAGCAGTAGATACATTAAATTAGTGTATTTAAACTACAATTCTCATGAATTTGAAGTAGAAACTAACATTTAAGCAGAGAAGTACAGTGGTGCCCTGCAAGACGAATGCCTCGCAAGACGGAAAACCCGCTAGACGAAAGGGTTTTCCGTTTCTGAGTTGCTTCGCAAGACGATTTTCCCTATGGGCTTGCTTTGCAAGATGAAACGTCTTGCTAGTCTTGCAAATTTTTTTCCGCTCCCCCCCCTTTTTCTAAGCCGCTAAGCCGCTAATAGCCTTTTAGCCGCTAAGCCGCTAAGCCTTTAATAGCCGCTAAGCCGCTAATAGCGCTAATCCGCTTAGCCGCTAATAGGGTTGTTTCGCAAGACGAAAAAAACGCTAGACTAAGAGAATCGCGGAACGGATTCTTTTCGTCTTGCGAGGCACCACTGTATGTGATCAATAGTTTCCAACCACTGTTGAGTCTTATATTCATGTACTGGTGCTGAATTCTACACTAGGTTGATCTAGACTCCATTTAGGATTCTAGAGTGACCTCCCACCCCCCATAAGACTCAGTTGACTGTCCCAGGTACAACCTCTGGCTTCTCCAGGCAGGCCTGGGAAAGGCTTCTTTCCCAGAGAGCTGCTGCCAGATAGTGTAGACAATGCTAAGCTAAGTGGACCAATGGCCAGGCTCTTTCATAAAGGCAACTTCCTATGTTTAAAATCTATACTAGCCTGTGATGCCCTGGGCAAAGGAAAGGGGACTACAGGGCAATTATCAGCTTTAAAAATGCAATTTGGGTATCATCTAAATTAATACGGTTGTTTTTAATCAAACATAATGGACTTGGGTGAAACTGCTTATCTCTGATGTACACATATTGCTATTTTTAGAAGTGAGAATTTTCACTCACAAACATAGGAGTATGTTTTTAATCTGGCCAAGGGAATGGCGTGGAAGATTAAACTTGCATCTAATTAATCTTTACATGAATTTTAAAATAAGAAAGAAATTATATCTGTTCCATTTGTATTCTATCAGATTAATAATGCATGGAAAATGAGACTGGTAAAAATTATATATAATATATGTTAAGTGCTTTAATTATCTAGGAGCAGAAATAATGTAACATTACAGTCTTCGAAATAAAGCAGATTGTTAATTTTTATGTAAAAAAAAATAAAGATAAATTATGCAAAGTGTCTAGCATTACATTCATGACTGTCCCAGTACACACATAGTTGATTTCCATTTCTATATTATGTGACAAGAAAATATAACCATTAGAGGTAATCAATTGAAGTGACTCATGGGGCCTACACATTTTAATTCAGTGCTACAAATAAAAAACACAGCCTTTAAACAATTCAATACTTCTTCCCATAATAAATTAATACAGAACTCTCTGTATTAAAGTTGTAATCAAATTCAAACATATTTGAAATATTGATAATGAATGCAGTTGAAAGAAACAAAATAGGATGTCATGAGTAAAGATGTGTGCTTAAGCAAAATTGGCTCAGGGGAACTGGTCTACATTGGTGTTCTTTTCACTTCAGAAACCAAGCCCTAGGCCAACCCCAACCTCTCTCACCACCAAAGGAACACAAGTGAACAGCAAAGAACCTGCACAAGCAACGCTGACACCAAACTCTACAGATAGTAAGTAAAATAGAAACACCCATCTTTCCCCCCCTCCACCTCTTTCCACCTTTTCTTCCTAATGTCTCAACAAATGAAACTGATTTGTAAAAATGTACTGGGGGGGGGGGAATACGAGAGAGACATTGCACACACTTTTGTAAATCAACAAAATCTTAAATAAATAAATAAAAGAATGAAAAAGAAAGGGGGGGGAAACCAAGTCTACAAACCAACACTGAAGTACATAGCAGGAAACTTTTAAACAAACAGCAATTTAAGGAAAGGCTTTCTTCCTGTCATATTTCTTCAGCTCAGTCTAATAAAGTCCTGCTAACAATCCACGAGGCTGTGAAAAATGTAATAAACTATTATATATATATTTGTAAGTCACTGTGAGTTGCCTGTGGCTAAAAAGTACTAATAAGTTTAATAATATAATCTGAAACTTCATATCAGGACCCACTTTATGTGTTTTCAAAAACATCTGGGTATATGCTGATTTCAAATATCAAAGAACTATTAGAAAAGACTGGGTCACTAACAGTAGGCACATTTTCCTACTCCCCAATATAAACAATAACTTTTGCTAAGAAAATTCAATAGGATTGTGAGAATGCCAAATGTGGAGATTTTCCAGATCCTGCAGTGCTCTTTGTAAGAACATACAAAGAGCACTGCAGGATTAGGCCATAGGTCCATCTAGTCCAGATGCCTATGGGAAGCTTGCAAGCAGAACCTGAAGCTAACAGTGCTCTCCCAACAGTGGAGGCAGCATATAAACATTGTGGCTACTAGCATCATAAATTTAAAGCCATCCAAGTTGGTAGCCATCACTACATCTTGTGGGAGTAAATTCAACACTTTAACTATGTGCTCTGTGTGATGAATTACATTATTTAGTCTACCGTGAATCTTCCAGCATTCACGTTATTGGAAGACCCCAACTTCCAGTATTATTGGGGGGGGGGGATTTCTCTCTATCCACTTCTTTGACCCTTTGACTCTATCCACCCTTTCCACTCTACAACATGCATTCTGAAGACAACAAGAAGTGCTTGTGGAGACTAGTGATCTGATATAGGTCTAGCAGCACTTAAAGATGTGTTTAGGCACAATAATTTTTCCCAGAATATTGATAGCAATGTATATCTCACTGAAAGCAATGCATATCTGATAAGATGGCATTCACACTCAGATGCTCATTCCAGCATGAATTTTGAGGTGCATATCCAATTTGCACCTGTTGCCCCTGATCCAGCTGTTACAGAAACACAGAAGCTTGCTTATATAGATGGATCTCTCTAGATTGGAGCACACATTTGCTATATTGTTCCTACTCCTTTCAACTTCTCAGCTGGTATTTTCTATAGCCTATATCGTTTCAGAAACCTCCCTTTCCTCCCATTTGTTACTAATCTCATCCATGTGGTTACATTCCCGTATTCCTGCTATCCACCTCAATGGGGGAGAGCCTCAAAAATCTACTTTTAGCTATTTGTCTTTAAGATTGCCACGTATTATGACATCTTTCTTTGTGTCCAAGAAAAAACTACATAGCATGTAAAGCACTATATTAGTGAGAATTACTATATTACTGAGAAAGCTCTAAAGCTTTCGTATAATTAATCTATATATTTTCAACATCATTATGATATTAAATTTTTATTTATTTATTTTCATACATTTACCGTATTTTTCGTCCCATAGGACGCTCCGTCCCATAGGACGCACCTAGTTTTTTGGGGGGGAAATAAAGGGGGGGAAATATTTTTTCCCTTGCTATCCGCAGCGTGGGGAGCCCTGCAGGGAACTCCTGCAGGGCTCCCCATGCTGCGGATGTCTGTCCGGCGCCCCGCGCCACGCTGCGGATGTCCGCCCTCTGCTTTAGGGCACCCCGCCCGCCGGGCAGCAGGCTGCTATCCGCAGCGTGGGGAGCCCTGCGGGGAACTCCTGCAGGGCTCCCCACGCTGCGGAAGTATGCCCGGCGCGAGGGGCGCTCTGCTTCAGGGCACCCCGCCCGCCGGGTGGCAGGCTGCTATCCGCAGCCTAGACAGCCCTGCGGGACCTCCCGCAGGGCTGCCTAGGCTGCGGATGTGTTCCCGAAGCGCCGGGTGCTCTGCTTTCAGGGCGCCCGACGCTCCAGGAAGCAGGCTGCTATCCGCAGCCTAGACAGCCCTGCGGGACCTCCCGCAGGGCTGCCTAGGCTGCGGATGTGTTCCCGAAGCGCCGGGCGCTCTGCTTTCAGGGCGCCCGACGCTCCGGGAAGCAGGCTGCTATCCGCAGCCTAGACATCCCTGCGGGACCTCCCGCAGGGCTGCCTAGGCTGCGGATGTCTTCCTGAAGCCTGGAGAGCGAGAGGGGTCGGTGCGCACCGACCCCTCTCGCTCTCCAAGCTTCAGCGAAAGCCTGCATTCGCCCCATAGGACGCACCCAGATTTCCCCTTCATTTTTGGAGGGGAAAAAGTGCGTCCTATAGGGCGAAAAATACGGTATATTCCACATGTCTTCTGTCATAGAACCCCAAGTGGCATTCATGTGATTTCTAGGCAGTCACCAGAACTAGACCTGCTTAGCTTCAGCAAGGTGGTATGAGTTATAAGTCAGACCATACCTCTGACATGCATTCTAACATGCAGTCAGTTACATCTGGGTATAACAGTAGTTAAGAGTATTTCATTCAGACTTCAGGAACTATTTCTGGGAGAACCAATTACACAGAAAACTCTTTGGCTAATCAACTTCAGACACATTAGAATGATGCAGCATGCAAGAAAGACACACCCACTGTTCAATGCTGACAGAAAGACTTTTATTTATGGAACTGGTAAGTGGTAAAGAAGGGATATATTTAAGGAAAAGACCTGCCAGGGCTGGAACCCAAAGTGGAAATAACAGAATTTGGAGAAGGTGTGGACTTTATTATGTATTGAATTTTTGGTGTTATCCACAGGTTTTTGTGGATGATGTTATTTCCACTTTAACAGCACAATAGCAATAGTTCAAATAGGAGACACTACTAAACAGTTGTAAACAGTTGCATCCTATTTATGTAACTGAATAAAGGAGAGACTTGAATTCCTGTTGTTACAAGCCTGAAGCAACAACAAATTGGTTTTGCTTCCACAAACATTCCATATTTGTATCTATCTCAATGCTGTTGTGATAAAAATGTGGCCAGTCCTATTGTAGAAAAAATGTATTAAAACTAATTTTAACATAGCAAAACACATTTTTAAAACGAGATAATGTAAAATCTATGCTTTACACATTAAGCCTAGAATTCTTACATTTCAAACACTGACTCTTACATATAATACTTACCTATGTCATAGGCGAGGAAATCAGCAGAAAAGCACTTTGCTCCATTACTTAATGAAGTATCATTATGGGTGTTTCCACCAAAAATTAACATAGCTCCACTGATCAAGACAGCTGAATGGAGATATCTTGCAAAACCACTCTCTTTCAGAATTGTCCTATTGCACAGGTGGAGGAGAGAACATATATGTGAGGACGTATATATGGATTTAAGAAAAAAATTACAATGGTTTCATTTAGTCCATTTCCAGAGGAGGAACATGGCAGACTGAACCTCTTTTGTTTGCAGGCTGCCAACAGAGATAATTATGTGGTGATTAATAATAGCCAGGCATAAATCTTGGCTAGCGAATTCACTCTGGAGATAGAAGTGAACAGAGGATTAACCTCTGGTGCTCTGAAAAAGCTGTTTTCTACATTAGGAGACTGAGAAGCTCTCAGTTCCTAGTGGGTGAGCACAGGGCTTTTTTTCTAGAAAAATAGGTGCCAGTAAGGGAAATTCTTACAATAAGTGCCACAATTTTAAACAATAACAATAAAGAGGTAGTAGTACTGCGTACCCTTGAGTAACCCCGGAAGAAGAAAAAGCACTGGGTGAGCAACATATGAGCAGCGGAATCAACACCTTGCCCAAAAGCCACGTAAGAGCCCTGAGGGGCATGGTGTCCCTTTCTCAATTTGGTTATAACAGGAATTATCCTTTGCTATTTCATAACATTAAAAATCAAACAATGTTACATTCATTTTCAACTTGAAAAAAAGAATCATACCACGTCCTGCTGTTTACTTCGTATCTGTAAAGATCATCAACCAATCCATATTTATTACCAGGCAAAGCTTTGTATCCACCATGAACATAAACTGACTTTGTTGTCTCATCATAGACACTGGTATGGCCATATCCACCTTGTACAATTGCACCTTTTGTTTCAGGAACAAGCCAAGAATTTGACCCTTGGAAAGAAAAATAATATAGCAAAAGAAAAAGGGAAAGAAATCAAATACAATGTTACTCTCACACTATCGAGTTCTTTCATCAAGTAATTAATTTAAAATAATTATGAAACTAATTCATATTAACTGTCAAATATATTTAGCAATTAAAGCAGCATGTGCCCTCCTCAACATCTACCTTTACCAGGTACTGTCTTCACCAGGTACTATGTGTAAGAAGAGTGTTCTCTACATATGAAAGATGGACAAAACTTATTGGTACTGTTTAGAATAAATAGCTAGAATGCAGAGGATTCTCCGTTAGGCTGCAATAACAGAAGAAGAATCACAAAATTGTAGAATTGAATTGTGACTTGTTTCTTTGTAAACATGCATAGGCTTATATGGGCTTTGTACAGGTGAGTACTTACAGTGATATACAGTGGTACCTTGGGTTACATACGCTTCAGGTTACAGACTCCACTAACCCAGAAATAGTACCTCAGGTTAAGAACATTGCTTCAGGATGAGAACAGAAATCGTGCTCTGGCGGCGCAGTGGCAGCAGGAGGCCCCATTAGCTAATGTGGTGCTTCAGGTTAAGAACAGTTTCAGGTTAAGAACAGACTTCCGGAACGAATTAAGTTCTTAACCCGAGGTACCAATGTATCTTAGATTCTTTTTCTATATGATATATTATATGAACTTAAACATTGACCAAATTGTCCTGTTATATAAAAGTAAATAACTGGTCATTCTCTGCACTATTTTAAAGCAAATGTAAGTATATTCACAATTTTGTACTGATTTCCAGAAGCAGTGTTTTTGGTGGCCCTATTATTTCCTTGGCCTTCCCAGCTTTACTGGAACAAGAGTTGCATTTAAAGAAAACAATGGTTCCATTTCAGTGTTAATATTTGCATCCCCACATTTTCCTCCAAAAGAAAGCTCGAAGTCATCTAGCAATAACATACAAAACCTATACAGCAATATAAAAAGAGCAATTCAAAACACTTCACAATCCAACTAATACTGTGTCGCAACAGCTGCAAAATCGATTATATGCCCTCACCTCGGACACCGATTCTGGGCAAGAGGAACAAGGACAGCAGCTGCAGACCTCAGAATACACTGAGGTGGCTGTTGAAGGTACAGTGTACAGAACAATTCCTGCCACTCCCCAGAAGAGGAAGAGAAGTGTGGTGGCAGCAGGTGACTCCCTACTGAAGGGGCAGAGGCAAAAGTGTGCAGAGGTAACAGAATGTCCTGGGAGGTGTGCTACCTTCCAGGTGCAAAGAGGCTGGTTATGTTTTCCTTTTCTTTGATAGGGTTCCTTCTTCACACTAGCATTTAGCATATCTTTGCATATTGTTTGCATTTCTAATCAAAAGCTAAAATGTGCATATCAGCGCGCTGATAATCTTTTAATAGAAGCTCAGGGAGTTTTATAATCTGCAGTGATGCTGTCAGAAGTAAACACTACTTATTCCAAGATAACTATCAATCCAGTTACAGTCATGAGATCCTAATAAAGTGAGCGTGATGGTGGGTGGGTGTAATAATAGATCAATACAGCTGACTGCATATTTGGACTCTCCTTGCAACATGGATAAGGATTTCCCTTGGGAGATGGCTATTGCAGCTGTCATCATGAGCTCCTACACTTCAATTTTTATCAATACACCAGTGGGAACACTTAGTATCATGAGTACGCATACAGCAACAATGCAAGTTGGAAGATAACACTCAGAAAAGAGAGCATTTGTTTTCTGAACACATTCCAAAAAAGCTCATAATTATCAAGCTAAGTCTGAATCAAGCCAAATGGAGTTTGCCTAGTTTGGATCTCTAGAGTAGAGACAAATATTTTCATATGACCAAGATGAATAAGCCTATATGCATATGAAGCATTGTACTGTTTTCCATTTTGCATTATTTCACTTTGGCAACATGCAATATAGCTAAATTTATAAGGTTTATGTGTCTTTTTGCTAGTGAATTCTTCTTAGGTATAGCAGCAGGAAAAAAGATTATGGGTAAAATGAACTACATAGAGAAAAGAGCTACAAAAGAATCTTCTTAAGAAGTCTCTGTGTTTGTTGCCTTTCCCATCAATATTGTTGAGCTATGTGGAATTATAGCTAAAAGCTAGCCTAGAAATGTGTTGTTGTGTTGTCTCTCATACTGTGAAGTAGCACCTTGAATATTAATTTACTCAGCAAAAGATGTAAAGACTTTTTTCATTAAAATGTGAAAGCTGATTTGGCAACTTTACAGAATGACTTTAAAAAAGTATTCATAGATTATTTACATTTTATGCTGCAAGTCTTCAAAGTCTGTTGATTCTCAGTCTACTAGAAACAGGTGGATAGTTTGAGAGGCAGTGACTGTCTCAACAACTTCCAAATTTGTCTCCTTCACCATCTATAAAGCAGCCTCATGTAATAAATTAATTGAATTTATAGCTAAACCTCTAGTCAAAAAAAGGCTAGCAGTGTACAAAAACTAGACAGTCCCTGCTGTCAGGTTCATAGTCCAAAGCAGTGATGGCCAAACATGTCCCTCCAGCTGTTTTGGGACTACAGTTCCCATCATCCCTGACCACTGGTCCTGTTAGCTAGGAATGATGGGAGTTGTAGTCCCAAAACAGCTGGAGGGCCAAGTTTGGCCATCACTGGTCTAAAGAGACATAAGTGGTATTAGAAACACTTACACTAACCACTTCTTAGGAAGAGGCCTAGAAATAATTCCCGTTTGTTCTTCTATGAACATGCTTGTTTTCTCTTTTTAAAAGGTACTTATAAGTGTTAAATACAGCTCGGATAAGAAAGCACAAGGATCTAGTCTACACACTTCAGATTTCTTAACTATGGACTTGACATTGCCTCATATCCTAAGTGCTCACAGGCTTTCCTCTTCTTTTAGATAAAACTCACATCCCTGCTATTTATACCACAGTGAGATAGCTTATGTATCTCTCTCAGTCATTTTCATTTTGAGACATCAGATAGTATTTTACTTGATCACATTAGTCACTGATGTCTCCACAGCTAAACAAGCCAGAACACCTAACCAGCCCAAGGACCAGCTCAACATAGCTCTAACTCGGTCTCCTGTCTACACCCGGAATACACACAGTGAGATACATAGAAGCAGACCAGTATTTTTAAAATGTTTTAAATTGTGTAGCCTTCAATGTAGGGTTTCTCAGGGCTCAATTTTATCCCCTATGCTGTTTAACATCATGAAACCACTAAGTAGGGTCATCCAGAGTTTTGGAGTATGTTGTCAGCAATATGCTGATGACATGCAGCTCTACTCCTCCTTTACATCTACAGGTTTGGCAGTGGATGAGCCAGACTGTGATCTTGCCTCATTAATGGACTGGATGAGAGCCAATAAACTGAGGCTCATTCCAGGTAAGACTGAGGCATTGTTCGTGGGCAGTTCCCTAGACCGGATGGATGGGAGGTTGCCTGCTCTTGGTGTGGTTACACTTCCTCTGAAGGAGCAGGTACATAGCTTAGAGGTACTTCTGGATCCCTTGATGTCACTTGAGGCTCAGGTGGCATCGCTGGTGTGGAATGCCTTCCATGAGCTTCGACTGGTGACCCAGCTACATCCCTATCTGGACCAGGAAAGCTTTACTTCTGTTGTCTTATGCTTTGGTAATAGCTGCAATGTAATTATATATGTGGCTGCTTCTGAAGATGGTTTGGAAACTTTATTTTATGGAAAAAATTCAGTGGACGCACAAAAACAAAAAGGTGGTTAAAACTGTAATACAATATAATATAAGTATATACCGTATTTTTCGCCCTATAGGACGCACTTTTTCCCATCCAAAAATGAAGGGGAAATCTGTGTGCGTCCTATGGGGCGAATACAGGCTTTCGCTGAAGCTTGGAGAGCGAGAGGGGTCAGCGCGCCCCGCGCTTCAGGCAGACATCGGGCAGCCCCACAAGCTCGGGGGACAGCGGGAAGGCGGAGCGCCGCCATACCGCTGTTCCCCGACCTGGTTTGGATTCCCCGACCTGGTTTGGGGGGGAAATAAAGGGGGGAAATTTCCTTTATTCCCCCCCCCCAATAAACTAGGTGCGTCCTATGGGCCGGTGCGTCCTATGGGACGAAAAATACGGTAAGTAATGTTACTATTCCAATGAATATATAATTATTAAGAAGTCACAATAGTTCCTATAAATGTATTCCAAATATCATGCACAATCTGCATCTAAAAGCAATCTATTCATATTTTGCAAAAGTTGTCATATCTTCTATCCACTGATTCCAGTGAATCAATATCAGTATTTTTGTAGAAGTAAAGGCATGAAGTGTCCATCTACATTGACCAGCTGTCAAACTCCATACAATTGGTATGTGGCTTAGGATAATATTATCATCTGACTTTTTTAAAAAAAGCTCCCAATTATGTATTTTGTGTTGTTGTTTTGTATTTTTATGTTGTGAACCACTCTGTGATGTTCAGATAAAGTATTTAGTATAGAGTTCTGAAGCAACAAAATTGGCATTAGTTTCTTTAATGCAGTATCCTATCATTTGAATCACAGAAAGGTAAGTTACAGTACTTGCCAACTAAAATCTAATTTTAAGCATATTTGGTGGAACTGCCCTATAATAACTCTAGGAGAAAAATTTTATGTGCAGTGTTAATTACTGTCAGCAACGTCCTACACGCGAGTAGGAACCCAATAGAGACACATGCCGACTGGCATGTTCTCTCCCTCCTGGTCGTTCGTTCGGGAGCTTCAAAAGCTTTCTCCAGTCCAAACATCACAGCGACTGATACCAAGAGGCATCAGCACACTTTAGGATCCTGCAGAGTGTTGGCAGTTCGCGTGACAGGCTCAGCAGCGCAGCATTTTTGGCTAAACTACTTTATTTACATATAATACACTCGGAGCATTCTGACTCAGCTTCTCCTTTCACATCAGACAGCAAAGAGAAAGAACAAAGGATAATAGTCCTACATCACGGAACACAGTAATATAAACATCCTGTCTC